ATCAATTGTAGGAGCCATTAATTTGGTGTATTCTGTGTGTGATAAATATATTCAATGTTTTCATCCAAACCATATGTGATATCTATTTATTTGTGGGAAGTGAATAGAATAAGATTCGAGACGCCAAAAAAAGATAATAGAAATTCTAATTTTCTAAACCTCAAAATATGAAAAAAAAATTACACACAGCAATGTATTATTTCACAAATACTGTTTAATTGGATGAGTAGGTTCATAATATAATACATTTGAACTGCCAACTGGTCGATTTTCGTAAACCGAAAATAATATTTACGGATTAGTTATTCGAGGAATAAAAAAAGAATTTAAGAAATACATATTAAAAAAATGACAGCTGTGGGATTTGAACCCACGCCCTTTCGGACCAGAGCCTAAATCTGGCGCCTTAGACCACTCGGCCAAACTGTCTTATTATAAACAAGTTTTTATATATTAATAATATAAATTAAATTTTTCTGTGTTAAATAAATTATTTATGTAATTTGTAATATACACTTATACAAATTCGACTCAAAATATTACTAATTATTTATTAATTATAAAATAATAATATCAATGATGTCTTGATCAACCTGACTCAATTCAAGATAGCATATATAAGATTTTCAACATGACTACAAGAAACATTCAAATGCTCGGGGGTTTATGTAGACTAAAACATTTATCTCATGATCGATCTATATTTATCAAATCAATAACCTATATGGATGGAGTAATTTTAGTAAAGATTAATTAATCTCGATTACGTGTTATAGATAGCCTTTTATAATGAAATATTTTATGTTCCCCCATTTTCAGAATATTTCTCGGATTATGAATTTGGTATGATGTCCACATAGCTTAGATATTGATCAAGTTATGTCTTCGCACTACTAATTGTGTTATCATATGTCCGGTTGCTACTGTCCTAACTACTTTAGTTGATCAAATCATATCGAGCACTTGCCCAATATGCACACATAAGACTCTAACCAACCTACGCACTTCAAACTTTGGTTGATATGCTAAAGTTGAGTCTTGGTTGATTTAGCATATTAGACATTGGTTATCGAGTCAATCTACGTAGACCCGGTAGATTGCTCTCGGTTGACAAATCTACCCACATCAAACATATTCCTTTAGCTCAACTGATCTATGCTTATCGGAAAAATTGCTATGGATCAATTCATTATTACCTCTACCTTTGCCTCTTCTTTTGTCGAGGTAACCATCATTTGATGTTTAAAATTATAGAGCATGCTTAAGTTATGCATACTTATTGATCCTTTGTTCATGGACTATCAAAGAATCCATTAGTTTATTGATGTCCATCCCCTCCAGATCTTTCGACCCCTTAATCGAATAAACTACATGCTCAAATTAAAATATTAGTGGTCTAATTTTTTTTTTTCATAATTTTAAGGTCACTAACCTCTTCACCATTAGTTTTAATCTAGTTTGTGATAGTCAAAATATGATAAAAATAATTTAAGATAAATTCAATCTAATTCATCTTTAAAATTTTAAACTCTGATCTTAATGTTTATAGGTGTACTTTCTTCACCTTGGTCTCACCTTAATAGATCTTTTAAATGATGGACCAAAAATTATGTGAAGTTTAAATTATGGAGATCTTCTCAAAGATATTGAGTTCCACTACTTGATGAATAATAGTAAGAGCATTTTGATCTTTTTCTTGTGATCTCTGAACTCGGCCTTCAGATTTGGGATGTAGGAATCTTCTTCTTTACTAGGTTCTATAAAACCTTTATCAATATTTCACAAATACCTTTGTCGAGAATCTTCTAATTGATATCATGAATCTTCTCTCTATAATTTCTTTCTCCTTAAATGTTCTCTCTCTAATAATATGATTCTTTTTCTCTAAAACAGACATTTCTCTCTCTAAATAGTATTATTTCTCTATCTATAGTGCTATTTCTTTCTCTAAACAGTCCTAATTTTCTCTTTATATTATTGTTTCTCTTTCTAAATGATGTTATTTCTCTCTCTATAGATTTACTGTACTTCTTCTCTCTCTTAGCTTTTGGCTGTGGTGAATAAGGCACCATCGATTTATAGACTTAAGCCATAGATTCATAACCCTAATAAAAGAAATATTTCTATTTCAACACAAACTCCTAAATTAATTTTAATCAAATTTAAATTACAATCTCTAATAGATATACAGCTCACTTTCCGACACATAGGTCAGATCGATGGATTACTAGTGTCTAAAATAAGATATACGAGGGTGATTGTGATCCTTTACATCGTGGTAGAACGAGCTGGCACGGTTTGGTTCTGTCCTAGGTGTGCAAGATCGTCCACCTCTGGCGGGTCGAGTTTGGGCTCTGGCTATCGAGTCGGAGGCTCCCTAGGGCTAGTTACCTGCTCCTCGGGCTGTGGTCCCTACACATAGGTCAGGGTCGAGAAGGGGCTTCCGGCTTTGACCCATCCGAAGATTTTGCTAGCTTTTAGTGGCTGAAGAAGAAAACCTCCCTTTGTCTGACCTCTCGAGGGGTTTTTATCTTCCCCTCAGGGGGACCGATCGTACCTGGACTATTTTATTACCATCGGTGCTATACTTGGTTCGGCGCTGTCCTAGTATTTCGGAACGGTGTTGGACACGACGGCGCCATCCTCGCCTTTTGTCGGGCGACGCCGTTTCGGCTTTTGCGGGACGGCACTGTGCACGGGCAGTGTCATCCCGACCTTTTGCTAGGCGACGTTGTACTCGGTCAGCGTCGTCCTGACTTTCATGGGACGGCGCTATGCAGAGTAGTCCTGGCCTTTGTGGGACAACGTTGTACTTGGTAGGTGCCGTGTTGGGAAGGCCGGGACGATGCTATGCCGACCCGGCCTTTACAGGTCGGTGCGGTACTCGCTCGGTGTTGTCCCGTCTTCTCTGGGATGGTGCTGTGATTGGTCAGCGCTGCCCAACTTTTGTGGGATTTGTGTTGGCTAAGGTGTCATCCTAGATGCTGATGTGGTCGTAAATCGTGGTAGGTTCCCAATATGTCTTATTAGAGGGATAACTATTATTATAGATAAATTTTGTCAAAGATAAATATTTGTTCTATGATTTCTTAAACTCTAAGATATATGCTCTTAATATAACATCTAATGTCTGAATGATTTTTTTATTAATTTTTAATATTATTTGAGAAAGATATGATAGTGAAGCTTAAATTAGAAAAATAGATTGGAATTACCACTTAAAATAATACTAAATAAGCTTGTCCATATTAATATAAAATAAAACATATCAATTGTAGGAGCCATTGATTTGGTGTATTCTGTGTGTGATAAATAGATTCAATGTTTTCATCCAAACCACATGTGATATCTATTTATTTGTGGGAAGTGAATAGAATAAGATTAGAGATGCCAAAGAAAGATAATAGGAATTGCTAGGCTTCTCAGAAATTCTAATTTTCTAAACCTCAAAATATTAAAAAAAATTACATACCGCAATGTATTATTTCACAAATACCGAAAAAAATATTTAAGAATAATCTCAATATTTTTTATTTTGAGAAGACCGGATTAGTTATTCGAGGAATAAAAAAAGAATTTAAGAAATATAAAAAATCTGACAGCTGTGGGATTTGAACCCACGCCCTTTCGGACCAGAGCCTAAATCTAGCGCCTTAGACCACTCGGCCAAACTGTCTTATTATAAACGAGTTTTTATATATTAAAAATATAAATTTAATTTTTCTGTGTTAAATAAATTGTTTATGTAATTTGTAATATACACTTATACAAATTCGACTCAAAATATTATTAATTATAGAATAATAATATCAATGATGTCTTGATCAATCCGACTCAATTGAAGATGACATGCATAAGATTTTCAACATGACTACAAGAAACATTTAAATGTTCCAGGGTTTACGTGGACTCAAACATTTATCTCGATCTATATTTATCATATCAATAACCTACATGGATAGAATAATTTTAGTAAAGAATAATTGATCTCGATTACGTGCAGTAGATAACCTTTTATAGTGAGTTAATTATGAAAATATTTAATGATACGAGTGAAATATTCCATGTTCCCCCGTTTTTAGAATATTTCTTGAATTATAAATTTGGTATGATGTCCACATGGCTTAGACATTGATCGGGTTATGTCTTTGCACTACTAATTGTGTTATCACATGTTTAGTTGCTACTGTCCTAACTACTTTAGTTGATCAAACATATCGAGCACTTGCCCAATATGAATACATAGGACTCTCTGACCAACTTAGGCACTTCAATTTGGTTGACATGCTAAAGTTGGGTCTTGATTGATTTGTAATATTAGACATTGGTTATCGGGTCTATCCACATCAAACATATTCCTTTAGCTCAACTGATCTATGCTTATCGGGAAAATTACACTGACTAAACTAAACTAATTGCCCTCATTAATTCTGCCATTTGCGTCCCTCATTCTCTTCCGTGCTAATTATTACATAAACAGTGAATTAGGAAGGGTGCGTTGCATCTGAAAGAAAGAGAATTAGGCATAGTCGCCCCTAATTCATCCCACTCTCACTCCCTCTAATCTCAACCATCTCAATTTGACCATGTTAAGTGAACCATTAAAGAAACGATATAGTAATTGATGGAACATATTTAACATTTATATATTTATATTCATAGTAAACTATTATTTTAAAAGGAACAAAAATGAAATTATGTTGTTCAATGTTCTTATTTATTCTATCTATTTCTAATATTTTTATTTTAAATTTTGAATCATATTTCCTTTTCTTTTTTTGAAATAGTTTGGTTTTTATTTGGATCGGTTTTAACACTTTAATTTCATGAACACATGAGAGCAAATTATTTCCATCGTAATAAAAATGATCTGACCATTGTTCTTGGCATGTTAGATTCTAACAAACGAAGACAATACATATCTAAGTGAGAGGAACCAAAATATGGCTTGTATGTTGGATACTGAGCGTACCCTACGACGGTGCATGAATCTCTGTTTGCAGGAATGTCTTGGCAGACGTATAGCCGACGACACCCTATCCACCGCCATAAAGCGCCCTCGGTCGATTCCCAGCGTGTATCTCCATATACGGTCGCCTTCTTCCTTGTGCCAGCATTAGAGGTGGGAAATGGAAATTGTAGTTTTACCGGAGACCGCCGGAGAGGAGAGGCCTCTGTCTGATGCGTGGGACTCCAAGGGCCGGCCCGCCATCAAGTCCCGAACCGGCGGCTGGGTTTGCGCCGCCACCAGCTTAGGTCTGCCACCTCTTCCCTTCCTGCTTCCTCTCGATGATCTCTTTGTCTTCATGAAAAGTAAAGATTGTCAGTGAAAATGGAACTTGTAAAGTGGTGGAGATGGGCGAGAGGCTGGCGACGCTGAGCATCGCGGTGAACCTGGGGCCGTACCTGAGGGGCACCATGCATCTAGGCGGTGCCGACTCCGCGAACATTATCACCAATTTCTTGGGCACGTCCTTCATTCTATGCCTCTTCGGTGGCTTCATCGCCGACACCTTCCTTGGGCGGTATGCATCTTCCGTCCCTTCCCCTTGTATCTCTTTACTGGTCGCTTTGCTAACATTGATTTAGGTACCTCACCATTGCCGTCTTCACTGCTGTTCAAGCGTGTGTAAGCATCAAGTTCTTCTCATCGCATCTAATCCTTCGGTAAGCGTATGTTAGAACGCAAGAGTGCTGACGGAAACTCATTTGGACCGCAGGGGGTGATCATCTTAACCATATCGACGGTGGCGCCGGGGTTGAGGCCACCGGCGTGCGCTGGCCCGTCCTCCGGGGGTTGCGTGCCTGCGAATGGTTTGCAGATGGGAATGCTCTACCTGGGACTCTTCACGACGGCTCTCGGAACAGGGGGGCTCAAGTCCAGCGTGTCAGGCTTCGGCTCCGACCAGTTCGACGAGAGCGATAGAATCGAAAAGAAGCAGATGATGAAGTTCTTCCGATATTTCTTCTTCTTCATAAACGTCGGATCAATATTGGCCGTCACCGTGATGGTTTACATCCAGGACCATTTCGGCCGCCGGTGGGGGTACGGCATCTGCGCGGTGGCCATCATAGCTGGTTTGGCCTTGTTCTTGTCCAAAACCAACAGGTACCGGTTCAAGAAGCTGGTGGGGAGCCCGTTGACGCAGTTCGCCGCCGTCGTGGCCTGCGCGTGGCGGAAGAGGCGCCTCGCCTTGCCAGAGGACCCGTCCATCCTCTATGACATCGACACCGGCGTCGCCCGCAAAGGGAAGAGCAAGAAGGAGAAGGTACCCCACAGCCAACAGTTCCGGTAATGCCTCTCTTGTTAGAAAAAGAGGATTAAAAGGTCGTCAGTCTCATATTCATAAATATGGGTGAGATATATATATATATATATATATATATATATATATATATATATATATATATATATATATATATATATATATATGAGTTTGATCTACAACTTAATAATTTACCTTTTGAAATTAAATTAATATCTTAAATGATTCGAGGTGGATGCTTCACTCTATCCCGTTGCAGCTTTTTGGACCGGGCGGCAATCATAGAGGGAGACGCGCCGACTGAACAGAGCAAGTGGCGGCTCTCCACCTTGACGGACGTGGAGGAGGTGAAGCAAGTGATCCGAATGCTCCCCACCTGGGCCACCACCATCATGTTTTGGACCGTCTATGCCCAGATGACCACCTTCTCGGTGTCGCAAGCCACCACCATGGACCGCCACATCGGTCCCTCCTTCGAGATCCCTGCCGGCTCCCTTACCGTCTTCTTCGTCGGCTCCATCCTTGTTACCGTCCCCTTCTACGACCGCATCGTCGTCCCTGTCACCAGACGAATAACCGGGAACCCCCAAGGTCTTTCATCGCTCCAGCGCATCGCCGTAGGCCTCGTCTTCTCCATCTTAGGCATGTGCGCTGCCTCACTCACCGAGCGCAAGCGCCTCAGCACCGCCTTGGCCAACCCAACCGCCGCCGTCGTCCCCCTGGTCGTCTTCTGGCTGATCCCTCAGTTCTTCCTGGTCGGGGCAGGCGTGGCGTTCATGTACATCGGTCAGCTGGACTTCTTTCTGCGGGAGTGCCCCAAGGGGATGAAGACGATGAGCACCGGCCTGTTCCTAAGCACGCTCTCTCTGGGCTTCTTCCTGAGCACGGCGCTGGTCACCATAGTCCACAAGGTGACGGGTTCCGGCGGAAAGGGTGCGTGGTTGACGGACGATCTGAACAAAGGGAAGCTGTACAATTTCTACTGGCTTCTGGTCGCTCTGAGCACTCTGAATCTGGTGGCGTTCGTCGCGGCGTCAAGAGGCTACGTTTACAAGGAGACTAGAACGTCCGTCGACGACGCTCAGGGTGTGGAACTTGAGCAGCAGGCTTGATGCCATGCATGAGCTCCTTTTATATATATATAGCACATTTCTCAATTATGTAAGCCGCTGTAAGATCGCATAAGCGTGACTTCAATGAAGCTTCTGAATCTTTGACGCATTAACGCTGTCAAACTTGGAATACGGTATGCAGAACAAGTAAATTTACAGAGAATCTCAACTTGATAAAGGCTCAAAAAATTTAGATTAGGAGTCTGCTAATTTAGAATATCGACCCTTTTTATATTAATATTGTAAGCAGGCAACACAGAGGGCCGAACGGGATGGCTTCATTGGTCTACTCTGTACCAAATAAGGCCCATTAAAGTCCTGCTTGTAGGCACGGCGAGAGACCAATGCATGTCTATCCAGAAAGCTTCGGCCCCAGAAGCTGTGCAAAGGACTGCGGCTAACTCCAAACTTGCTTAGGACGGGAGGACGAAGTCCTGGAATTCCGTGAACCCTCGCTGTTCCTGTGGGACTCGGCTTTGGGATTTTAGTCGCAAACCATCTACAGCAGCACGTAGATTGGACGGCTCTATCATTTGTCTTGCCCGCTCTCGTCTCTGTCCGTACAAGCTTGCGGTGGAGAAGCCACTGGCTGTGTCGGTAACTGCTTTTATATTTTCGTTAGGTATAGTTTTGCAGCTTCTCCTGTCTGTATGATGACATTTGCTGTGCAAGATAAATGGTGTACTGTTCATAAGGTCTGCGAGAGACTCCACCATCGTTGAGCAGAAGAACCTGTCGTTCTCATTAGGAGACTCCAGCAGCTGGTACCATGTTGATGTGGTTTTAGCTTGGCACTGCTGAATTCAGCTACCATATTGATTCTTTGATGTAAATGTTTGGATGAAAAAGACGGTGAGAAATTTCTAAGGGTAATTGTTCCTTACTAGATTGCAGTTGTTGCAATGGAATCCTTATCCAAAATACGATTCCTTGAAATATCTGTCCTTGGATTGGATCAACATCATCTTCTCATTTATTTTGCTACAGTCTCATGAATAGGGCAATAGTACACAAGAAGCAGAGTTTTCCTACATATTGTGCACACGCATTATTGATCAAATCTATCTGCTCCAATGAGATCGCTCGGCGTGTTTAGAACCGTGTTTCAAATTGGCTATATGTGACTCTATTGACAAAAAATCAATTAAACCACTAAACTTATGCTTGCTTTAGTATCAAAAACCTCTCACATGTACTTATTTCTGGCATTTCCATCTTCAACACTAGAAGAGAATCTACTAATCAGGCTTCATTTTCCAGCAAATGAACAAACCAGGACAAAGTTGACCCTGCTAACTATTGTTGAGTTCCGAGCAGTAGAACAACTGTTCACTGTGTTCTCTCATGGATCAGTGATGGTGGTGACAAGTCTTCTAGGACATGAAATGTTTCCAATGCGTGTATTTGGACTCTTGACTTGGAGACAGATTGCTGTAGCTTCGATAAATGACTTGAGAGTTGACTTCCTTCTTACTGTTTTCTTCCGTGGGTGACAATAATGACGAAAGACATGCAAACAGGCAATGTAGTACTGTGTCATCTTCGACGTATCATCGATTACACTCACAAGGGAGCTTCAAAAGCTCGAGGATGTAAAGCTTAAAGAATACCTTCCTCTTCTCCCTCTCTCTCCCTCCCTCATGCTGCTGTTGCTGCGACGGAGTGGATTGAACAGAGAGATCCAAAGGTGAGTGTTCTTAATCAGGAAGGCCAAATGGGACGACTGCCAGCCATCGACACTTCCCTTCCACAGCGTGTGGAGCCAACGACCGACAACATGGAGCAAGCGGACGAGGCTACGACCACGGCGACAAGCCGAACCGCGTCGGATCGATACTGGTGGAACCGCCGCTAGAGTCTCGAGGTTTGGATTCCATGGCGACAAACCGAACCGCGTCGGATCGACGCTGGTGGAATCGCCGCTAGAGGCTCGAAGTTTTGACTTTTGCTTGACCCATCTCTCTCGTGAATGGAGCGTCTCGACGTTGTCACAGCTCTGAGCTCGTGTCGGCCGCCATGGACAACGTTCAACGCACCGAGATGGTATCTTCTTCATTTACATTTGAAGTCAGTCTTTTCTTTTCCGGATTCGTGGCAAACAATGAACAAAGAACTGCCGACTTGCATCTTAGCAAACCAAGTTGACTTGATTAATCTCTCGGTTTTGTGAGTTATCATGATTTATCATTGTTTTGTTGTGAGATAATTTCTATTTTTCGTTACGTAAATTGCCATAAATTGAAGTCAAATAAAAAAGAATACATGATATCTGGCTTCCCATCTCACTTGGCACCAACAATTGCCGGTGGCCGTGTGACTTATACCTGCAAGGTTGTCACCCGTTGATGTCTCAGTAAGACAGGTGCACCCGCATGGCTCAACGCTTAGGTGGCATTCATTGTGGCGAGTTTAAAGCTTCAAGCGACTTCTTTCTTCGTGTTCCTAAGATCACACAGCTTCTCTTCTCCCTTAGAATAAACCATCAGGGGTGCATTATTGCATCATCCTTCATGATTTGACTTGGATATTGCTACTCTTAGCTGGATGATGTACTTTTCTATGCTTTTAAATTGTTTCAGCAGCATTGAAGTTTTAGTCAATTCATAGAGAGAAAAGAAGCTTTTACCTCCTCAAAATTAGAAGGTTAGTTTTGGGGTGGGACTGTCGGTATAATACACGATGGCGTATGCTTGCTGTATGTATAAAGACCAAACAACCCCTGCCATCTGCTTATAAAATCCCCGTCTCCCACCCCACCTGCATCCTCACTTCTTCTTCTTCTTCTTTTCTATCATCTAATACTACTGTTTTCTCTCTGCTCTTCCACCTACCTTTTGCTACTAATAACGCACGCCTGTTAATCCTAGAGCGAGATTTGTAGTGGGAGATGGCCAGCTTACCTGAGACCGCCGAAGAGGGTAAGACCCTCGCCGACGCATGGGACTTCAAGGGCCGCCCTGCCGTCAAGTCTACCACCGGCGGCTGGACAAGCGCCGCCATGATCTTAGGTCCGGTCATGGCTCTCTTTCCTTGTTTTCAGTTGCCTACCTGTGTTTGCTCCGTGACTGATAGTAAGATGGTTGTGGATGTGATGCCAATGGGAAATAAACCAAGGGGTGGAGCTGTGCGAGAGGATGACGACGCTGGGCATCGCGGTGAACCTGGTGACCTACCTGACCGGCACCATGCACCTCGGCAATGCCGCATCCGCTAACGTTGTCACCAACTTCTTGGGAACCTCCTTCATGCTCTGCCTCCTCGGTGGCTTCGTCGCCGATACCTACCTCGGCCGGTATCCTCCCTTCCCCAACTCCATGCACCGACAAGGAATTCCTAAGACTCAGTTCATCGTCTTAATTCTGCTCATTTCTTTTCAGATACCTCACCATCGCCATCTTCACCGCCATCCAAGCCTCCGTAAGCATTTCGCATTCCTCGCCTTTGATGTTTTAGTAGTGGTATACGAATTGCTAAGAATCAAGCAATACTGAACGAAATTTATACTGAAGGGGGTGACTATCTTGACCATATCGACGGCGGCGCCGGGGTTGAGGCCCCCGGAGTGCAGTAATCCGCTGGGCGGCGGGTGTGTGACGGCGAACGGGACGCAGCTGGGTGTGCTGTACCTGGGACTCTACCTGACGGCCCTTGGGACGGGCGGGCTCAAGTCGAGCGTGTCCGGGTTCGGGTCGGACCAGTTCGACGAGGGCGACCGGGCCGAGAAGAAGCAGATGATGCGGTTCTTCAGCTGGTTCTTCTTCTTCATTAGCATTGGGGCGCTGATGGCCGTGACCGTGCTGGTCTACATCCAAGACAACGTCGGGCGCCGGTGGGGCTACGGCATCTGCGCCGTGGCCATCGTGGCTGGCTTGGCCGTGTTCTTGTCCGGCACCAGCAGGTATCGTTTCAAGAGGCTGGTGGGGAGCCCGCTTTCCCAGATCGCTTCCGTCGTGGTCAGCGCGTGGCGGAAGAGGCGCCTCGACGTACCGGACTCCTCCATGCTCCACGACATCGACACCGCCGAAGGATGCAGCGCCCCCTATTCCAACAAGAAGAAGCAGAGGCTGCTCCACACCAAGCAGTTCCGGTAACGCTTGCCTTCCTCCTCCCTCACGCTTATTCGTTGACATGTCCAAAGCCAATTGGCTCGACTGCGTGGGACCAGCACGGGTTGCCAGTGGGTCCACACTGAACTCATCCAAGTGTGCCCCCACCGAGGCCGCTTAATGGTCCCACCTTCATGCACTACAGTCTCTTCTTATTTTTCTTCTTTTCTTGCTATTTTTTTGCCTCTCTTTTTAATCTGATGATACCTTTGACCACATCAAACACTTGTTCATCTCTGGATCATAGAAATATGGCGTGGCTGTGAAGGGCATATGACCTTTCGGCCTACTGATTGGTTGTCAACCTTACGTTTCTTTATTCCTAACCATATCAACTGCTGGCCTACAGAAAATTGGCGACCCTCCTATCAACAAGAAAAAATAAGAAGGTTCCAAATCCTCCTCCGATGTCCATTACAGGTTCTCCTCCTCACAAAACTCGCCATCATGTCTTAGAAGAGAGAGACAGAGAGAGAGAGACCCATCTCTAAGCAAGCCAAAATCCTTCGACCACTGAAACTTATCGATACAACATGACAGTCTTATCTTCAAATCATATGGACGTCATCTTTTTCTAATTATTCAGCTCGAAGAAGAACGCAGGTAACCGAGTCCGAGATTGGGATAGCTTGTGCTGTGGCAGAATCACAAAAGGGACCCCTGCTTAGTGAGAGACCCCACGAACCATTCTAACACCGAGTAGATAAGACTTTCCCCACAATATGAAGTTATGGGAACGAGCCAGCAATCCTTGACCTGTCATTTGTTAGCATGTAGTCGACAGAAGATCCCTCAGATCAGTGAGTGAGGAGGCAAAGTATCCAATGATCAACCTACGCGGTGGGAGGGTGGAGATTAAATATATGAGATCTTGATCCGGAGATCAATAAAAGAAGGAACAATTTGACCTCTAAGCTCTCTACGTTGAGTCGTGAGAGCCTGATTGGCCAAGGGATGTGTTCAGCAATCACATCTTCTTGGGGTTCTCCCATCCACCCTTTACCCCATCCTTTAAAGAACTCTCTCATCAGCCACAGTTGAAGCCTGTCCCTGATACACCTCCGTTCCGTAAGAATTTAGTCATCAGCTAGCTCCTTGAGCTTGATGGGGTGAAGTGACAGATGAGCAGTTTGGAAGACGGTAGGTGAGTTTTTGCTATTACAGTTCCCTTCCCTTATTTTCCCTGCCCTGAAAGAGAGGAGAAGGTGGTGGTGCATGCATTAGGGCAACCAAAGTTCATGAACAGACAAAATCTTCACAGTAAAGCAATGAATGGTCTCCTGCCATGCTGAGCTGGTTTTGGTACCCCCTACCACTGTCAAGCTATTAGACCTTTCCAACTCTCTTTAGCGCCAGTGAAAATGAAGAAGAATAGCTTCGTAGTTGAGAGCTTGTAAGTTACTTCTATGACAAACCCTAGTCACCGAGACCGTAAAAGAGAAACTGCAGCGTAGGATGAAGACAAAGAATATATATAAAGATCACAGGTTCATGTCATGGTGGTGCCTATTTCCGAACCCATTCGCCATGGAGACAACCTAACGCACAGTAGCTTTTTCCACTTGAAGCAAGTCGTTCCATTGTTGTCTCCTTCACAGTCCTGTCTCTGCTCTGATCGAAGTCGACATCCACGAATGAGTCACGAGAAAGGGGGGGTTTTGCTGGAGGAACAAAATATGGTAGTAAATGGCTTGCTGTTTCACTTGAAGATGGTCTCCTTCTTCCCTCCCTTGTTAGGCCTCAGATGGGGTCATGACAGTTCTATGCGACACTCAGTTCTTACTGCTGGTTCATGTTTTTATTCCTTACTTTTAATTTGCATTTAATACATCTTGGGGAAGTGTGCGCATGCTTAGTTATGTAATGACAACTGAAAAATAATTAGTGTAATGTCATGTTAAGAAAAGGTAGTGTTATCTTGTCATTAATTAGTGGTATATTTCTGTATCAAGATAGAGTGCACAGTTAATTAATGATAGGATTAGGCGATAAATCTCGAGACATGCAATATATCGATTGCACGACTTTTACAGCAGAAACAGTACAAAGGTGATGTAATAGTAGTACTGATTCTTCTTCTTTAACAACTTATGGCAGCTTCTTGGACCGGGCGGCCATCGTAGAAGGAGACGCGACGGTGGACCAGACCAAGTGGCGGCTTTCCACCTTGACGGACGTGGAGGAGGTGAAGCAAGTGATCCGAATGCTCCCCACCTGGGCCACAACCATCATGTTCTGGACCGTCTACGCCCAGATGACCACCTTCTCAGTGTCGCAGGCCACCACCATGGACCGCCACATCGGCCCCTCATTCGAGATCCCCGCCGGCTCCCTCACTGTTTTCTTCGTCGGCTCCATCCTCATCACCGTCCCCATCTACGACCGCCTCATCGTCCCCGCCGCCCGCCGCCTCACCGGGAACCCCCAGGGAGTGACACCTCTCCAGCGCATCGCGGTCGGCCTCGTCCTCTCCATCGTCGCCATGTGCGCCGCCGCCCTCACCGAACGCAAGCGCCTCCGGGCAGCCCGGACTGACCCGACCGCGGCCGTCGTGCCCCTGACCGTCTTCTGGCTGGTGCCGCAGTTCTTGCTGGTGGGGGCAGGCGAGGCGTTCACCTACATCGGCCAGCTGGACTTCTTCCTGCGGGAGTGCCCCAAGGGGATGAAAACGATGAGCACCGGCTTGTTCCTAAGCACGCTCTCGCTGGGCTTCTTCCTGAGCTCCACGCTGGTCACCATTGTCCACAAGGTGACGGGGGAGAGCGGAAAGGGGGCGTGGCTACCGGACAACCTGAACAAAGGGAAGCTGTACGACTTCTACTGGCTTCTGGCGGTGCTGAGCGTGCTGAACCTGGTGGTCTTCGCGGCGGCCGCCAGGGGTTACGTCTACAAGGAGAAGAGGATGGGGGACGAGAGCGTCAACGGGGTGGAGCTGGCGGAGGAGGCCTGCTGCCATGCATGAGCTACACCTCCAAGTCACTTGTTGCCTTAGCCTTTTCTGTTTCAATAAGGAAATGGTTTTACTCTTTCGGTGTCGAAGAATCACTACTTGGCAGTATTTGTGAGACACATCGGTAGCACGCACTTATCCTTTCTTCCTTTGCTTGTCTCTTGCAACGTCGTGGCTTCCTTCACTCCATCTACCCTCACTACTTTATTCTACCTCACATGACTTGAATCATTTGATCTTTGATGACGCTAACACATATTAAAGAAACTGAAAATAAACTAATGATGCAGTCCTTCACCACCACCCACATAATCCAATGCAACAGAGTCGTCATATGCTTCCAACAACATAGACGTCCTGCGAAGAGTGGAGTGGAGTGGATTTACATTTACAGGGACAAAGATTTATCCTCTCAGATGATAAAACACATTTCACAAGCAAGAAAGGAATGAAAATGGTTTTTCCAGCGTTAACACCAACATATATAATTGTCTGTAAGAATTAAAATTACCACTAGCATTCAACAATTTAAATAAGCTTTTGACCATAAGAACAAAAATGATGATCGACCGATACAAGGTTTGTTTAGAAAGGATTAACAATATGTAATCTTACCGTCGCAAAGACAACTTTTGCGAAATGCTACACAAGGTAAATGCATTGAATCTCAGGTCACTGGTGTAAGAGATCAAATATAGACACAGTGGAGCAACAGATGAATACACATGCTTTTTTTTTACAGCCATAGGTGATTCAGGCAATTTCAGCACGATGTGGCCCTCGGATCATTAAGTTATGCTAATTAATCACAAAAGGGGCAATAAGTTACAATATAAAATAACCATGTTACAAAGAATGTCCTCTTGCCCTAAACTGAATAACAATATCAAACAACAAAGGAATAAACAGTTGGATATAAGCATCTTCAATCAGCAACTCCATCGACCCACAAAGCCCACAAGCCATCTGCAGATTGATAGATGTAAGCGCAAATGTCTACCACAGAAGAGTAGCATCTGCAGGAAACTCAATTAGGCATCACATCATACCCACCCGATTGCAAAGTTCTTCCTAGCAGGGAACCATAGTTACACCATTTCAGAACTCGCCAAATATGTCCATACAGTCATCCCACTCCATCTGCTCCCTTGCTTCCCAGTATCCACCTATATATCGGAATGTTCCATCCTCACTATCCCTCCTAAACCATCTTGGTTTCCACCCATTTTCCTGCAATTTCCTCGACTGCACCAAAAGAAAATTTCAATCATGGACTACCAGTCAACAACCAACAACACCTAACTTCTGGACCAAGGTAAGAGACCCAAAATTCAATGACAACAGAAGCTCATATCAAGGTAAGAGCACCCTACACGAAATAATGCATTTTATACGAAGCCACTTCAAATTCTCAGGAGACTGTTTCTGTTGCATCTTAGGTAAGTTCCAGGGTAATCAGTACTAGTATTCTAATCAGTAAAGAATTAGTGGAAGGTCAAAATCAAGCAGTAAATATCTTTATAAAGAATGTGGTAATAAAAATTTCCTAGCATAGCTGGATAGTATATCATAAGAAGTAACAAGCATATTTCCCCTTAGAATAATTAGGAGATCAAGAAACAGAAAACCTTATTCATGACTTTCGAGCTTAAAAGAATTATGACATGAGAGGATCACCATTCGTTGCCTTCTCTCCAATCGCAGCTTTTCTGAATTTGCCTTTTCGTACTCCCCATTCTCAAGGTATCGCTGATCCGGACGGAGTCTTGAATCAGTTGGTGGAAGTTTCCCCTTAATCGATGACCAATATTCAGAATTTAGAACAAAGGTAAAAGAAGAGACAAGTAAATCGGAAAAGGTGAAAGTCAACAACTCGCATGCCATGTCTACCTTCAGATCTGATGTTATCTCATTTAGCGTAATTGCAAACGATGTCAAGTTGTATCGAGTGGGGTCAGGAGGAGGCTTATTCCTTGCCCATAACAAAGTTGAATTTTCTGTCAAAAAAGAGCTCTTGGACTTCAGGACTTCGTCACCAAACGAGCAGCACATGCTGTCATCCCATTTACCTACTAAAGTGGCAACTTTTGTTCCCTTAGCATCCTCAACAAGACCTTGTACCTTTGTGGAAGAATGTGGCTCTTGTCGTTAGAAGAACCTGATAAGCCTGGATCAAATGCAGCAAATTCTCATTCCTTACCTGGCGAGGGTTGCGGTCAAGGAGTGACTGCTCTTTGAACTTTAATTTACAAGAATACTGCTGGTTTCCCCGTATGTTCATTGTACCATGGTGATTGCAGTATACCTTACCAAGAATTAGGTTATAGATAGTTGTTGTGACCTACATGGGAAATCAAATGACTCATTGGACAGGGTAGAAGAGTATTATTTTCTTTTCAAAGATGATAGCCTGGACTGGCATGACAAGAAAAACATATATCTCTTTTATAATCTAAATGGAATCTAGACTGGTGAATATCTTTTACAAGGAAAAAAAGATTGTTGTTTTGTTACAGAAGATTGAGGTTCTCATGAACAGTTGTGCATGGTAATAATACCTTACTCCACTGAAAAATTTCACCATCATCAAATTCCAAGGTTAGTACACCAACAGGGTCTACTTGTATAGATTGTCCCCAAAATTTACTTTTCAGATTGCTGTCTCCCCAGAATTTCCAACCTCTACCTTCACAGTGGCAAGCGATAAGCATAGGGTGGTGGCTAACCTAGAAAGTGAGGTAGTGAGCAACATCATTCCAGACTTTTTATCAATTGTGAAGGAACATTACAGAAAGATGTAGATATAGTTAGAAGAGCATATATGCATTAGCCTTTTAAAGGTGACAAAACATATCAAATAAGGCATGGTATGAACGAATTATGTATCTTATAAACTAAACTAAATCAATAAAGAAATAAGCACAAATAGTAAGAACGAATTAAAACAAAGATGATTGGCATGCTAGATTCTAAAAAGATTTATCTGGTAACTATTGCTTGATTGCCAAAGTCTGTTGGAATTGCTTAAGAGCAAAAATTATTTTTTTCCCATGAGATCAAACTAATTTCAATTATGAATAGAATACAGATGGTTGGGATCTGGATTAACTTAACTCATCAGCCATTGCTTAGCTACAGGATCCATTTAGTATTGGGAGAGACAGTTGGATTTTTTTTTTTTGTCAACCAAATACAGGCATAGCCTATCATCTTATTCCGCCGAGATAACAAAAGGATTCAAATAAAAGAGAAGGAAGGAAACTATAAGGAAGAAGAGAAGATAAGTCTGAGAGAAAAGAAGAAAATATACAAATCGAAGAATGGTTTCACCCACAAGCCAAAAAACAATAAGTTTTCCAGCTTTATAATAAACATGTTAATTTGCCACTCGAATACATTGTTAATGCATTTTAAAAACAGAATCTGCATCCAATCGAGTCTCTGGACAATTCGGCATTTCCTAGCTTTCCAATGTTCCCAACACGTAGATAATCAGATGGGATATTCAAAAGAATTATATTAGTCATCATGGTTTGGTATTGCAGGTGTGTAAAATATAACAAAGTCATAAATCTTTTCTTGTGGCCATTTATCAGATAATTATTTTAACTTTTCATGTTGATCAAGCTCTTGACAGAAACTGCTTCATTGTAGAAATTTTACTCTTATGTTTTGGAATTCTTAAAGTGCATCTTTTTGTGTACATTCTGTAAACATTAGAGACAGTTAACTTTGTTTATGAGGTTATTCTAAAAACTCTGGTAAGCTATTGATAACTTTTTAAATTCTTTCACCCAGCTTACCTGTCTTTTGTTTCTTGTTTACCCACCATAAACACAATGAGGATGGAACTTTTCCACATTTCTTTTGGATTAAAAAAAAAGAGAAAAACAATTAAGTAGTTTCATAAAACTAGAAAAGACTTTTATGTATTCCAATTATAGCTCTATATATAACATTTTTTGATCAAGTTCATGCTAGAAAAAGACAACAAATTACTTATACATAAAAAAAAAAAATTATGTACATAAGAGAAATATAGAACTCTTGTAATTCTGGACAAGTGAAGTTATTCAGTAAAGGGATATAGTTAATGAAGATTTTGATGCAAATTGGAACAGTGACATGAAGGCCAAATCTTCATATCATAGTCCAAAAACCTACCTTTTCAGCAAAGAAGCGGATTCCTTTGTCAGGGTAGTCAGCTTCATATGTCTCACCTAACAGAGGATTGAAAGGTTTGCAAGGGCGACCATCACAAGAAGAATATCCAGAGACTGCAAAGGCAGCTACATTCAGAATTCTCATGAGACTGTTCCCCTAAATACAAGAATTCAACATAAGAAACACATGTTAAGATAATCCAGAGCATTGCAGTTATAAGCCATGCACACATTACCCTCCCTATAAGATGAAACAAATTAGGTCTAAAAAAGTGCATTATTCAAAGCCACAGATCACAAATCCACCACAGGTGGCAACTTCAGTTTTGCGGTTACAGAAACATTACCAGTTTTGACTTTCAGTACAAGATATTACAAATAACACATTTCCTATACTCAGCATATGCTCATGAACATAATTAATTAGAACCAAAAAAAGCAGATATCACTTTCTTTAGAGATGTCATACATCGCACATATGTAATTTATGCATCCTAAATTCATGTGTTGCCTTCTCATAGTACATATGTGCAGGTAAATTTTCTTTCTTCAATGGCTTATTGGTCTATAATTAAGATTAAGCCTAGTACCAATTTTCTTTTGAAACTCCTGACCCTAAGAATTTGTGCTGACTGTTCGATCATTGATATGTTGCTGTCTGTACATTGTGTTATAATAGGTTTTTGTGTATTTTTTATACTCCAAATTCATCAATATGTCCAATGTTCCAACTTCATTCTTTCTATTATTTGCCTATCATGAGTATTTAACTCACAAACACAAGCAATTTGGTAAATCAGCTGTTGCATTCCAGGAGATATTCTTAGATGTAAAACATCTTGATGTTTTCTATCCCAAGTTTACACCAATGCTTCTTTAGCACTAAACGCCCCACTGCCTTGATAACATTCAGCTCCATTGATGCATTTTCTTCAAGCGATACAACACTAGGCTGACAAAAGCATTCTCATGTCTAACAGCATCTGAATTATATTGGACTTACATTGTCAGCCTGGAATAGTAGCCTCATTTTTTGCAGGAGCAAGGCAGGCAGGTTCCTCATGTATGGGAGGTCGTTTATTGCATTCTTGAAGTTTATGCACACATCATTCTTTGTCAAGCTCCAACTTATTGGTTCCATATCTAACCCTCTTTTAATACTTGTATTTCCTCAGAAGCTCATCATTATCAGACACAAAAACTTGAAACTCCAAAAGATATTTTGAATGGAAATTCTTTTGAAGGAATAAACAAACAGGTTATAATAGTATGGTTTCATTGGCCTAGTGGCTTGTAACTGATGTTCATGGATGAGTCCTTGATAAACTACACTAGAATGATCCTTCAGGTGCTTCTCTTCAATCTTTTATGGTAGTAAAAAAGTGAGAAGCATGACGAAAAACTTAAAGATAATCTTTATCAGCAATGGAAAACTATAGAAATTATGGAAGATAATGAGTACCTGAAAATATAGAAAGCGTACCAGATACCTATCAGCAACAATGAAGGTGGTGCCCAGTAATTAAAACAAATAAACAGTGATATTAATAGTATTTTTAAAAGTACTAGGCGTCAAAAGGTGCCAAGGTCTCAAAACACCTGAGGCCAGCGAAGCGAAGCACTCTAGAATATTAAAATAAAAAATAATATAATTTTAAAATATATAAGATAAAATATAATATAAAATATGGTAACAATAGTTTTAATTATCAGTTCTAAGGATTAACAATCCACTGCTAACAGTAGTTAATCCACTGTTAACAGTTGATATAATTGTGCGCAGTAGAGAAGGGGGGGTGGGGGAGAAGAGGAATCACCAATGGTGGAACGTGGGTGAGGAGAGGGCACCGGTGACAAAGGAACCTTCGAACGAGGACAGCGATGGCAGAGGAAACTGCGAACGACAACAACAGTGGCAAAGAAAGCTGTGGACTTGTCCCTTGACAGTGGAGGGAACTGCACACGAAAGATTAAGCGGTAGAGGGAGCTGCACACGAAAAAAGCAACGGCAAAGGAGGAAGATTCGGACCTTTAGGTAGGCGACGAAGGACTTAGTTGATAGTGGAGGACTTGGTCGGTGTCGGAAGCGGAAGATTGGACCTTTTTGTCAGCTGTAGAGAATGCAACGATGGATCCTAGAGTTTACCGAGCGAGTCGAGGGAGGGGGGTGGGTTTTAATGTTTACTATTAGACTTAGTTGGTTTGATTGGACCAACTAAGTCACTGTTAAACCAAACCAGAATTCACAATTTGGTTTGACTCGTTGGATTCAATCGGGCGCTCACTCAAGATGCCCGACGCTTGGGCTCAAGGGAGCGCCCAAGCGATGCTTCATTGAAGCGCGTCATCCGAACCCTGTGCGAGGCACTTGGGCCTCGCCTCGCCCGAGGGTCTAGGCAAGCACCCGAGTGCCTTTTAAAACCACTGGATATTAATATCCTACATCTAACAAGAATCCTGGAACCACTACATGACAAAGGTTTCACTAGCAATCTAGAAAAGATAATGACCAACTTGTCTGCAATAGCTAGCAAGTTTGTAACTCTATAGATGGATATGTTATTGTTATTAACAAAAAAGGATGAAAATAGAATACTGCAAGGAAATAATGGATTGATCGCTTCATGAGCAATTTTTTAAGGCAAACTTCACCAGAAAATTGAGTAAATGTAAATCCCTGTCAAAGACTACCACCAATCTGTTTCAATCGGGAAAATAAAGTTTGCACCCCATACAAATACAAAAATAAAGTGTTTCAATTCTCAACTAAGATCTGTAAAGGGTAAGTACTCTGTATCACAAACTATGCTACCTCAAGGGTTCAAGGTCAGCACCTTAAAGCTATTGTCTCTAACATAGCCGAGTATTGTATAAGGTTGCAGGTAGTTAAAGGTAGTTCCCTCTCCAGGAACCTTAACTTCGTCACCCAGAACCTTACTAATTTTAGGTGATCCTGTCAGTTCCCTTCTTTTTGGACTTCGATGAGTCTATGTCATCTCTGTTTTGTAATATTCCACTGTAAGTAATGAATGCTTTTTCTTTAAAAAAAATAATTATGCTACCTCAAAGTTATATATCAATGTCCTACATGAAAAATCATTAAAAACGAGAAAACAATCAATAAGTACCAACCATTTGGGGTCAACCAGATACATCTTTTCCCACATTACATTTCGTTAAAGAAAAGAGCCATCAAGTATCTTTTAATTGCTTCTAATAAAGAAATCTTAGGTTTTCCTCTACCTTTCTTCACACTTATTTCAATTAATAATAACAGTGCACAGGTCTCCTTAGACACATTCAAACTGATCTTAAATGATTTTCTTCATTAAATTACCCTCAATTGATCAAAATGCATAAATTTATTCTTATCTTTTCTAATAAATCTTTTATATATTTTCATCCCAGTAACACTTATTTTTTTATATTTTCTAATTGCCCAAGATTTGGCTAGTAAAATTTCTCTCGTAATCTAGGAGACACAATGATCATATGATGCTCTTCATGGCTTTCTTCACCTTAACCATCTTCTTATATCTATAAATAATATCTTCATTGATCTCTCTAAATCATTGAATAACAAAATCCAAATACCAATCACTTTTACTTCTAAAGAATTGTTTTCCATCTACTTTAATTAGAATCTCAATTCTTTGCTAAAGTTGCACTTCATATTGTGGGCATAATGAGTAACCATCTTTTATTTCAAATTGCAAAGCAAATGCTAGTAAAAGATTCAAAAGCAAACAATTGAAAAAATGAACTAATAAGAGTTGCAACAATTATCAATAGCTGAGCCAATTTTTATCTGAAAATAAAGTCACTGATAAAATTTAGCATATAATTTTGTGCTTCTACATATTTGCTTGAAAAAGTCATAAATTGAGAATAATTTTTCCATATATATCTTTGTTAGGAGATAAACAAACAGTTAAACATAGTTAAATAAAAAAAAAGGGCATGTTGCTTTTTGTTCTAATATTATAGGATGATATGAGAAAATCCAGCACAGAAACAGAAATAAGTACGCTACCTTTTTCCCATACTCATATGCTTGATCCAGTAGATCTGAGTACTCCAAGTCTTCAAAGCACTTTTGCAGCGAAGACAATGGTTCATTAAAGAAAACAGGAAGGCACACTCGTGTGAGGTCCTTTCCGACATTATCTTTAATCATTGACCAAAGGCTAACACCTTTCTCCTTTTCAATAGGCTCTGGCAACTTCTTCCGCCTTGGGATATGGAGCAACATGTTCGGATAATCAGGCTGTAACTCAACGTCCATTATCTTTGCATCACAATGGTTAGTATTAAATCCAGAAATTCTATTAGACACATTTGAGGATGTTACTTCAGCGGCACAGGTAACTATAGGATCACCAAAGCACTCATTTGTATCAAAAAAGGAAACTTCTTCTTCGTCTGATAATTCATCGAGCTCTTGCTTTTCAACATCATCAGATGATTCAGTTGTACTGTACTCTGGTCAAAAAATACAACTATGAGAAAAAAAAAGAAAACAATTTTTTTTTATTTTTTAGCGGCAACATGAATTCAAGTATGATATCCAGATTTAAAGCAATCTGGATAATCTATAAGTGAATACCAAGGAAGCTTCTAATCAAAATGAATTGATAAAAAGAGAAGGGGTAAAAATTATCACTTAATAGTAAACTAAAGCATTCAATGTAGTAGCTGCAAATCAAGGTTTTACAGTGTACCACTTCCTCTGGAAATTTCTATAGATCATTGCTGATAATATATATTTATTCTGTTATCAATTAAGATCAACTTGCAGCACAAGGTTGTAGATTGTCTCTAATATAAAACTTAAAAAATTTCTGTATCAAAAATATGATTGATACCAGGAATTACTGAACCACTAAAACACCGAACTAGAATAGAGTAGCCCTGATTTTACTGGGAGTACATTTGCAAATTGTATTTATCTATTTTATGATAAATATGAGTTTCTAGTTCATCAATTTAGTGCACCAACTGTGTTAATTCCAAGATAAATAAATTTTACTTGTCAAAGATTTGAGAAAGCTACTAGAAAAGCATAGGATATAATTAAGATTTTGGTCAAATTACAAAATTAAACATCATGAAAGACGAGGAGATATTGTTTGTCATTCTTCTTCATGCAGCTGAATGATGCATTTGATGAGGTATGTTCTACACGATATTCATTGGTGAAACAACAACAGAAAGGATTCATTGGTGAAATATCCAATACAGAAAGGAAAAAAATATAAGAGTACGAAACATGAGAAAACAGCTAAAACAGAAAGAAATGGCAAATGTCCAAATGGTTGATGGTCGTTTTACATAAGATTCAATGGTGAGCCATCAATGCCAACGACAAAGTAGTTTTATTAAATTCATTTGTGATACTACAATAATAACAACGAAAGAAGAAGATCTAATGGGCTTTGCAATAAGCCCACAAAGGCGGCAGATCAAAGGTAAAAAGATGGGAAAAAGAGAGGCAGGTTTCAGATAAATTATTTGCTCTGACATCATTCATGCAAACAACTTAAGCCAGAAGGACAACTTCCAAAATTAAATAAGATTTGACACGACCAAAAGGAAGCAACAATAGATATACACATATACTGATCAAAAAAAATATATTATACTGTTGTTTTTCTTGAATTGACATGAACTAGAACTAGCCTAGGAAGTACCATTAAATTTTTCACGCCCAGAGCTGGAATAGTCATACTTGGGTAGCTGCAATTGGCCTTCGCGAGTCGCCGCATCTTCTACATCAACTTCCTGCATATGCAGATTGGCATCCTTAGAAATGATATATTCAAGCAAAAAAGAACTTCTTAAACAAATGAAGAAATCATCTTTGAGGTAGATCAATCACGTCAGTTAATGATGTCACTATCATTTAAGTTTTCTTCCCCGATGTAAAGTTGCTATGTACCAATTTCTTGGGCAAGAAGGCTCGATAAAGCCATGAAGATAAGAGCATAAGTTCTGGGTTCCCTCACCATGACATCTACCATATATGATTAATGCCTGTTACCTAGCTAAGGCAACTTTTTAAAGGAAGATCATAGTGTCTAAAGTAGTTGGCATACTTATCATTAGTGATTTCAGCCAATTTGAACAAAGAATTATCATCCAACATTCTGCTAAACTCTGATAAACAAATTAAACAAAGAAATCATTTAGTTTTAGGGAACCATATTAAATATTCACCTCCAAGTAACAAAATAGTCAAAGGGACAAACAGAACATGACTCATGATTTGACTAAAATTATCCCAAAGAAAATATCATCGTTTCTTGAATTTTAACTCTTTAAGAAAAAATAATTATATATTCTGTAACATATTCAACTACTGGAAAGAGAAAATAACTTAAAAGCAGGACAATTAGTTCCACCATACTGTGCATTATAATAACTGAATTAGATTTTTAAGACCTAGAAAGATAGCAGGTTCAAATTACAAACCCAAAGCAATGTAAAATGACATGCACTTTGAGTTAATGGATATAGGGCAACACTAACATGATTTATGAAACATTCAGGCATCAAAATTTGTAAGTAATGTCATCACAACACTAGCTGAAAAAGACAATCCAGGCAGTAATCATTTCATAATTGTATAAATTTAAATGTAACAGGCAAGTTTAATAAACATCAAATAACAGTTTGATCTCGATACAGTTCAAAGAACATTTTCCATCCTAAGGTGTCTAAAGATCTTAATGTGTCCTTGTAAACAAGCACAACATAGTAAAGGAGCATATAACATAAACTATTAAACACTATGGTGAACTAGCAATACAAAGAATACCATGTCAATCTAAGAAACTGAAAATAATAACCCACCCATTACTTGTTTTATGCAAAAAGTACCTCCAGCTGCTGATGAAATGTACCAATAGAGGTTAAGTGCTCTTCATATCGAAGCTTCAATTGTTTGTGGTATTCAGCAAACTCTATACGCATAATCTGCTCACAGTCCTTAATAACTGTCTCATCCAATCCCTCAGCTTGCATGCGATCTCTAAGCTTTTCAGTTGAAATTAATACATCATTCTGCATAAAAGAAACTCCTCTATTTATGGAAATTTCTTTTGTTGCCAAAATCAAAGCCTGAATCCAGGCTACACGATCTATACTCGAATAAGTCCTCAAATGAAGTGTCTTTGTTGGAGAAACTATGTAGAATCTTCTGTCATCCGTCTTACTTTCACGAAATGATGAGATCTGAAAGAAGCATAAAAGAAGCTAATTAGATTCTGAACAGGACAATTTGCTTGCGTTCAAAAGCAGCATATTGCTTCAAGACATCCCTTATGAGTACTAAGTTTCATTTAGCTACAAAATTTATGCATGCTGCTGGTATACATGAAGCACGTGATACCTCATTTCAAAAAGAAATATGTGCAACACATTCCATGGAATGGTTAAAATTTTCTGCTTATTATTATAAGCTTAGTTTGATATTTCCAAGAGGGAAATCTAATAATCAAAGAGAATGAGAGGAAATACAGAAACACAAAGTGAAGGAGAAATGGAGGAATTAAAGATTACAAAGAAAGAGAGCATGCAAAATCCAAAAGCAAAACCGTTAAGCTTTATGAAATACTCCATACTCCAAAACTGCAAGTGGACGACACAATATATAGCCTACACAAAAGCATAAAAATATGCGATTATATATATACATGCGTATGCATGCATATATTGTGTGCCAATATTCCTATCCATGACTTAGAAACCTATCTGGTTACTCAAGCTATTCTCTTCAATATAGTATAATCACACACAAGATTCTCAAACTACATTCACCTACCCCAGAACATCCCAATATAGTCATCTTGCAGTCAGCAGGCACATCAAATAAACTGTAGGCACCCTCCTCTTCTTTTCTCTTTGGTCTTGTTTATTATGATCATTGAGTGGCCTAACCTATATGATCCAAAGAATATGCAATTTATCCCAAATCAAATAATCATAAGTTTGGTTACCACTTTTTAACAAAATCAAAGTAGCAAACAAACAATTTGTAAACCAACAGGTTGTTTAACAAATGGAATCAAGAAACCATTGGTTTATCTAGTTGCGATTTAGTTATTGCATTTCTCCATGGATAACTCGAACTATCCCAAGCTATTAGCATTGCTTGAAATCTCTGGCATCACTGGCTATCTCCAAAAACAGTTAGAGGGAAGGATTTAAGGAGTGTTCTTGCTCTTTTACTATTAATAGGCATCCACACCTGACTCCTCCAAAAGACAGTATAGAGGTCACAGTTTACAACATTTTAAAATTTGTGTAAAAGTAAGTTCAACTTTAAGCAACAAATCAGTCTAAGTTCTGGCCCAACCCTAAGTAACCTATGCATGCACACCACTTTCGGCTTTTCTTGTTATAGAACATAAGGATTTTAGCAATTAAGGATGTCCTCTCGATGCACCATCTCATGTCACGGACTGCCACCGATACGTTCTAAATAGCATAGAGCTGCAAATGGGTTCAGGAGATTAAATGTCTAACAGCAAAAAAAGAACAACATTTATGGGAATGTTGTTTGACAGTGTTATTTTAGCATATAACAGGACAAACTTAACCTATCAAATGTTCATGACATTTACTCTCAAGAACCAATTTGCAGCTCAAATACTTGGAAGTACGAGACTTCATCACATTAGGATGTCCTCTCGGTGCACGATCTCCTGCCATAGACTACCACTAAACACCTCCCGAAAGCAATGAGCTGAAAAAAGGCTCACTAGAGTAAAAACGTCATCAACACTTGAAAGCCGTAACATTTTCCAGAACAGCTAAAATCACTGGTCAAGCTCACAACCACAAACGCCAGCAAACACACCTGCGACCGCATCTTGAGAACCATTAGTCTCCAGCAGGTAGAGTATTCATAACTGACTTCCATCAAGAAAAGGGCCACAGCTGTTTGGAAGCGTTCGTATACACTACCGACCACTGGATGCGTGCCACTTCATTTAAAATTTCCTCTTTTTTTTTTCTGGCGCTCCGGTTTTTGCGAATCATGAGTCGCAGGAGCCCTTGCATTCACAGGTTCGTCTTCCGTCGACCGTGCACTGTGTTGGCGTTCGCATTCACTTTCTATCCTTCAAAAAGTAGATATACCGATGGGGGACCATGGACAACAATGAAGCAGAAACGCAATCAATTCTTACCCAGAGATCGCAAGCTACAAACTCTAGGTACGATCAAGTCTCGAGATTAATCTTTTATAATAACATCAACAAAAAAAAAAGCGGAAATTTTTGAATAAAGAATTGGAACCAAAGAGGAATCAACCGATCAAATAATGGCGGAAGAAACAATGCATTAAAGCAACGACGATCAGAGTAAAACCCCAACGACAGAGAGAAGAGTTTCAGTTACATACCTAACAACACCAAGAAAGAGGCAAATATGGGAGTCATTGGAAGGGAAAGCAAAAAAAAAGGAAAAGAAAAAGAGAGAGAGAGATAGAGGGGGGAAGAAGAACAAAAGAGGAGACAAAAACCAGAACCAGGGCCGTACAACTGCCTACTTTGCTTTGTTGCAGCGAGCAAAGATCCAATAGCTGAGGCCAAAATCCAGCTGTCGGCCCCCCTCCCTCTGTGCATTGTGGCAAGAACAGCAGCCGCGGTAGGGGGGTCACACCTCGCCCTTGTTACCAATTATTTACATATAGATGCCCCCCACGGCGCCCCAAAAATCCCCCCTTCCCCGGCACCCTATCAAAAGAAAGGCGAGACAGGAACCAGCCATCGCCATCACGCAAGCAAACAAACCGCGCTCCCCCTGTTCACGTCGTCCTCCCCACCCCCTCCCCCCTCCCTCCCTATCCAGAACCCACATCCCCTCGGCCCAACCCAGCGAAGGTAACAACAATAGCCAGGGAGGAGACGCGGGTACCGGCCGTCCCCACATCGAATAGTGTGGCAAGTACTACGCTGGTCGCCAGCCAAATGACGCGACCCGCGCGATTACTAGTTTAGGCCAGCGGAGGGACTCGATGCGGGGCTCGTATCGTACATGGTTCGCCCTCGACATTGTCTACGACGCTTCATCTCCACCGTCCATGTAATGTTTTCGTACGTCTTAATTTAGAAGCAACTGTTTCGTCCGCTTCAGACCTCAACAGGAAGACCAAATCGAGCGAGAAAATTGAACGGTCATATAGAATTGGCAAAATTGGAAATCTCATTCGGAGAAACAGAAAAAGGACGAGAACGGAAGACGGCCTCAACATCACGAACAAGAGATTGGGAAAAATAAAAGCAACCGAAGTGAATTTTTTTTCCTGTAATAATTTGTCGAAATCTCAAATGCTTGACATCAGATCACCATCGGATGCGACGATTTGTTTCTCTTATTTCTGGGTTTCTTGTTCTTGTTCCTGAGAATGAGGATGAGCATGGTTTGTCGTTGGCATACCTTTAGATGAACGACGCGCACCGGCTTCTGGGGCTGACGGCAACCGCAGCCGCTGCCGGGGCGGCTGGAGGAGGCGGCGGTGACCGGGGCGAACATCGCGGTGGCACTTCCGATGAGGCGGACGCCATCGCCCTCGGGCACCGGCGGGGGGTCCCGGCGACGGATCCTGGAGTAGGAGAGCACGCCGTTGCCGAGGGAGAACCAGCGGTGTCGCCACCCCTTCCCTATATTGGTCCACTTGCAGAGGACACCGGCGACGGCGACGGTGGAGGAGGGGCCGGGATCGGGAGGCGGATCGTCCGGCGCCCGGGAGCGGGCGCCGAGGCCGGGGCAGTCGAGGGCGATGCAGCAGAACGGGTGCGGCATCTCCCGCGGCCGCATCGCGATCGCGAGATCGCTCCAAGAATTGGGTGGCTCTCCCTGGATGCGGAGATTTATGTGGCCTCGTGTCCCACGTTCATATGCTGGCGTCCGGGGGTGGAGGTGGAGGTGGAGGACGGAGGACGACGCGGTGGTTCTTTTCTTTTTTTGGGATATTTATACGCCAATTTTTCTTGATTTGCCACGTAAGATACGAGAGAGAGAGAGAGAGAGAGAGAGGATATTTAAGTTCAATATTGAGAAGGTTCATTAATTATAATTATGAGGGAGTTGAGGAGATGTGGTGAACGAGCACTGCCTATTTAATGTATGTAAAATATGACGCATGTCCCTCTAAAATTGAGACTACATATGTGATGTCCTTTTCCTCCGCAGTCACCCGTCCAATCCATTATTATATTTTTATTTAAACTTAAAAATAAACTAATTGACTAAATATTTTATAATATATTTAAAATTAGTTAAATATCCTTCTTTCTCCACCTGTCTTGGACTAATATAATGTGATCCTTTCATATTATCATGTGTTTCTATATTTTCTCTTTTCATTTGTCTCTAATATGGTTCACTTGTATTATTTTTATTTTTAATATTTCTAATTTTTTTCTGATATTACATATAGTCTTGAATTATTTTGTAAAATATCAATTCAACACATTGTGTGACTGATTGGCCAATTGGTCTAATTGGTTTCTATAACTAGTTTATCATGTCTTTGAGATTTTTATTATAATAAAATACATAAATAATTTATTTTCTTTTTTTTCTCCACCTTTCATTCCTCTTCTCTCTTTAGATGAAATATCACACCAATAACATTAAATATAATATTAATATTGATAAACACACTATCTTATTCATTTGACAAGATTGAGAAAGAAGTTTGTTGAACTACTGCCTGCAAGTTCATCTTGGGATATAATTAATTGTGATTTCTTGATACTTAAAATATATTTTTTTTAAAAATAGTTTTTTAGTATCTAATTTATAATTTTTGATTTCGCGAGTAAGTAGGTTTTGATTATTATTGTATTTGATAATATGATGTAATTTAAGTTAATTTACATAGATTTATAAAATAATTAAATTATTTAAGTCTCATGAAATTAAGAGAATATTTTGATAATCAACTCCCATCCCACTAACTAATAACCCTTCGGATGTTGACATGAAAGAAAATGATTGAATCACTATTTTCTATGAGAGTTATGTTGTAAGCCCCCATGGATAACAGTTTACACGAGTACATTCCTTTGTTTACTGTCTCTTAGACAAAACATCAAGCGGAAAGCATTGAAATCAATCAAAATACAAAAGTCGACTCCCAATGCCAATTGGGAGGTCGAACTTTTTTTCAAAAACCTCTTAATTTCGTATAACCTTCCGAATTAATTTGAACATCGAAGACGTCAAATTAGGAAACTCCTCGACTTTTGTATAAGAATCGATTAAGAAATATGCTACATCATCGGTACTAAATATGCTACAAGAGAGCCTATGCATTCGGGTCAAAATTAAGTCGTATTGACTCAATCATCAACAACATATCCATTCGAATATTTTTAAATTTTTTCTATATTTTTTTATCATGTCCTATTTAGATTTCTTTTTCTTAACTTCTTTCTTTCCTTTTCACTCTCTTTTCTTCTTTTACTTTTTCACTTCTTTCTCTCTGCTGCTTCTTTCTTTTGTCTTCTTCACCTTTCATTTTCTACCTTCCCTTCTCCCCCCCCCCTCGTCGTACCGCCGACGGGTTAATAATGTCACATCGAGTAAGGTATATTTGAGAGTTTAAACCGGGTTTATTTTTACCGAACCGGATGGTTCACACGATCCGACTAAAAATTTACCGAGTCATCCGATTTTACTTTTCAATGTACAATAATTCATTTTGGTACTATCATCCAAAGCATGTAAGGTAGGTGATTATGATCCTTACTTTTGTTGGCAAGAATAGACACTGTAACGTAGCATGTCGATCATGCTCTCTCAGCAGGCCATCCATGATGAAGGTGTTCTTCGTTCAAGTAGATCTACTGTCGTTGGAAATGTAATGATCAAAGTGGAGCGTAGAATAATAACCATGTTTTGGGTTTTGGAAGCAAATCATCAACAATCATGGCCATAAAGTATTTTCCAAGCTTTTTGATGAACACGATCTTTACAGTGATCATAACGTGATTTACAATTTCAAATTGGATTGGATTTGAAATTGGCAGTCTCGACATCGAGGAACGAACGAACTTTATGGAATATAATACGATATAAAAGTACATGTGGACATTATAAGTGGATCACTCCGCATTAGACACTGAAAGCGCCGAGGACGTGCCCGCATTATCCCGACATCAAGAAACTAAAGATTTTTAAGTACGCCTTAAATGATGCGTCGATCCCCACCTTCTCATTCCCAATCTAATTAGATTCGGCCGGACACCACGACAGCGACCGTGTCGGGTGGAGTTTAGGTACCAACCATCCGCCTACATCTTCTAAATCCGAATCCGATACGCTCATGGGTCCAATCTAACCCCCTGTAGGGTTTCGGGTTACCGGGTTCCCGGCACCGTCACTGACCAGTCGACGTACTGCTCCGACTGTTGGTGACGGTGCGTCGTCAACACCGACACCGTCGAGGGGTTCGAGTGCCCTTTTGGAGCTGAGATAGGACCCCTCCCCATGCGCACAACAAAATGTAAGAATGTCCCTCTTTAGCGGAGCAGGTGGGCGGCTCAGTCATCACCACCCCATGTGCCATCGCCATTTCCGGCCTCAAACGGGAGCTCCACCAGGCTCGCTCCCGTGCGCGGCGTCGTCCCCACGGCCGAGGAAAAGTGCCATTGGAGGAGTGATGGGGATGGTAGGGCTCTTTGAGGCCACGGCAAGGGATGTCACTTGTTCCCAGGTCTTCTCCACATGAGCTAGTTCTTGGGAGGAGGAAGCCAGTGGTTCAGCTGCTGCTAGGGTCTTAAATATTGGCATTAGTACATGAGGGAGGGAGCCAAGCTGCTATTCTCATCATGGTACTGAAACGTTTTGGAGGCCACTGTTGCCCCATGCTCCTTCAACTGTTGGAGGCTCAGCGGCTCCTGTGGATCATGCACTCCCCTTTCTGAAAAGTTCCCTCTCTGCCTTGTTCATTCAGAAACCCCCTCCCTCTGCTTGCGATATCTTTTTTTTGACTTGGGAAGCTCTCCAATCTTGCATGTCCCCTCCAGTTCATAGGGCTTACTTCAAGGGTCATCCATCCATCTTTATCGATCGAGATGTGACAGGATGGTGGAACTGATGAGTAAATGGGTGGAAGACAGCCATCTTACTCGTCGATTCTTCTCAGATCTGCTGTTTCCGAGTGATAAAGATGGTAAGCTAGGAGCTTACTCGGATATCTTCATGGCGTACAGGAAGACGGGCCGGAATCTTGTGGTCTGGAAATGCGTTTCCTTGTCTCTTAAGTGGGGATGGAATCCAAAGCCGATGGAGGACGATATCACCATCATTTCCATAAGCCTACGGCAATAACACCACCATCGTTTTCTCCATGTTCATTTCCTTCACCTTTGTGGCTGTCAGAAATAGCATTGTGAGACCAAGACGAATGCCTCTCGGACAACTCAACGTGACACTGAATCGAATGGGGTGTGCAAAGATCACACGCAATCCATTTCTTTCCACCTGATGGTATCTCTGCTCATGGAAAACTCCAGTCGCATGATCCACGATCCACATGGACACATTACCAGTCAATATAAGGCTTCCCAATCATGAATGACTCGAGTACCTGCGTGCATGTTCTGGTTAATCGCAGCTCCCTCGCTGCTGTTGCAAACTATCATAGCTTCATCAACAAAGCATGGTATGGCAAAACGAGTCAAGGGGGCAGGAAGGACAAGCGAAGGTTTGTGCAGCTGTGTCATTTACTGCTCATCCACAGCATTGCATGTACCTTTTCGCTCTCTGCAAGCGCTTCACCAACTCGCAACGCCTTTGCCATTCCAGTAAGCCAAAGCACTCAAAACGAGACGTATATGATTGGAGACCTGATTAGGGCAGAGAGGATTTAGTTGCTTCGAGGTTGGCTCTATCCTTCTTAGTCTCTATATTTTATAGATCTCGATTCTTTAAGAGTATCAATCTTACTCCTACACAGAATGGAACTAAATGATATATATATCTGCCACTCCATAACCTAAAAGATCCTCGGCATTGAGATCGACAGTGATCATGGCGCACTCGATGAACATCGATGCTGCAAACTAAAGGTTGACGACGCCTGTGCAAGTTCATCATCACAATGACAGGCACATAGAAGCGGTCGAGTGTGAGAACGAGATGAACAGGGGTTTACAGTTCAGATTCGGAGGTGGGACTGCTTTAATCAGCTTCTCTGTGAAAGCTGAGCACTGAAGTGTGTAAATCAAGTAGCCGACAGAGAAGATGTGTTTCATGTGAGATTCCTACATCTTCCTGTCTTCTGAAAGCTTCGTGTATGCTGCAACCATGTACAGGTGCATTCCATTGTCAGATGAGTGTTTATTTTTGACGCAAAAAATATTAATTCAGCAGCAAATTACTCGATCTCATGTTGCTAAGCGATCATAAAGAGTTGTGCTCTTGTAACCAATAATTTTGAGCTTGGAATCAGATGAGTCAAGTTGGTTTATCCCAACAATGAGTTAAATAGGAGAAGAAGCACACACCAGTTTGAACTGAATGGGAGACAATCAAATCATGAAGTTCAAAATAATTTATAGAGAAAAATAATTTAATAAAATAACAATATAATAATATATGCAAGTAAATAATGAAAATAATATTTTGCTTTTTTTATTGATTACTATTAAAAAAATTCTTGAAAAAGATATTCAACTCCAAAGATGAATCGAAAAAACTTTAGCTTTAGCTTGAATCTATTGACATGTTCCCTCTCCTATTTATACAGATTAGGAGGAAGGATTTCCCTCAACAGAATAAATGAAATAGAGAGATTTCTTTATATAATTGGAAAAATCTTATCCTCTATCAAGTTGGAAAAATCTTATCTTCTATCATACATGACATCTTAATGACATACAACTAAATGTGAGGAGGATGTACACTGCGTCTCATTCTA